AGAGAGAGAGAGAGAGAGAGAGAGAGAGAGAGAGAGAGAGAGAGAGAGAGAGAGAGAGAAGAAAAGATTGTCATTAGGCCTAATCATTATTTCCTACTTTTTGGTTGACACCTGAACGCAACACCTTTAATCATCGCGGCCTCTGTCTCAACAGGTGCTTCTGATGACGTAGCGGTGATTGATTGGTCAATTAATTTCACTCTATATGTCTCGTGGGCCCGACACCGATTCTGTCCTGGCCTTTTATAAACGTTTCTAAAAGCACACCCACTAATAAAATCTGAAGCGGTGTGATGCCACGGATGAATATTTGGTTGTGTTTTGTTCTCCTCGCGTCCTGTTGCGATGGACGAACTGATGAAGAGGAGGAAAGGCCGGGGGTGAAAGGTTCGCATCACCTGAGCCATAAGGGGTCTGGGTTAAGACTCGAACCTTCGGCTCCAGCTCGACACGGTTTACTTGCCTTCAGACACGACCAACAAGGTGACTTAAGTTCAACTAAAGGTGAGTTTTTACCTGTTTACCAGTTTACCTGTAAACTGAACATTTATCAGGGGCTTCGCACAGCCCAGACTCATCTGAGCCATTTAAAATATTTAAAAAGTGAAGGCTTGATCAATACTTTAATAATTCCAGCAAAAGTCTACAGTGTAACAAACAATCTGTCCAAACAGTAACTTACAGCTGTGAAAAATATTTACAAATGTGCAAAAAGTGACCTGTAGAACCATGGTCCTAAACAAAGATGTTGGTGTTTTTTTTAATTCTGACTTCACCAAATAAAAATATAAAAATTTAATACAATTTAAGTCTAAAATCAGCATTGCTTATTGGCTGCAGTTCCTTGTGAATGTTGAAAAGAATAAGCATATCTGTCTCATTATTTAGGCAACATTTATCAGAACGGGCTATGATGGAACTGTGATTTCATTACATTCAGCTGAATCAACACCTCCTCCTGACCTCCTCATGACACTTAATAAGCATGTTAAGATGAAATTTTAGCTATGACCCACAGGTCAAATTAGCCGTCGTTATTAGATTTTTTTTTTAAAGACGAACGGTACAATGCAGAAGGTTTTGCTTAAATGCAAAAGATTATAAATTTCAGTGTATTTCTGGGTTTATTTTTTGACTCTGTGATGGTGTGTTCAGCGTCACAGGATGGGCTGGCTGCAAAAATAAAGCGCCTGAATCCATCAGTTCAATGTGGCGACAACCAGATGACCCTGACTGTCAATCGGGTCAAAGCTCCACGTTTTCTTGTGGATGGCGGTAAGTTCCAGGTTCTAGTCCAAAGTGTTGGCCTAGGAAAAAGCAAATCATGTTTTATCCCTTTCTTATGCCAAACAGGTGAAGAACCTCATACGTCCCTTGCGCAGATGCCAGCTTCATGTGGCTTCTCTGTGAAGAGATCCCGTCGACATGTGCAGTACGCAGCATCCTATCGGGGCTGTCATGTTAACAAGGAGGTGAGAGCTCCTCTTCAGAACCTCCTCATATAGTCTTCAAATCATTTCTGGCATTTTCATTGTTTTCCCCTTCCGTAGGATGGTGATCATCTTCTACCGCTGCTTTTTCAAGGGGCACCAATGACCATGTCTTGCCCCAATGTGCTGACATCACCTGCTGTTGTCTGCTTTCCATCAAAGATGGTGGTTAAACTTGGTGGTGTAGCAGCAAATGACCTCAAAATAAAGGGTATGTTTTTTTAAACTATAATTGATCAGTTCTAGTAAATGGCTTCAGCCTAGAACTAAAACATGAACTGTTGTAGTTTCTGGCACATGGCAGCCTTTATCATCAACCTGCAGCAGCTGTGGACTAACTTTTAAAGAGGTTTCTGGAGAACTGGCACTGATTGCTCCCTACAACACAGACTTGTGTGTAGAGTTCAAGGTATGATTTGTAAATGGACATTGAAGCTGGACTGTAAATATACTTTTGATTGACTTGTTTTTCTGTTTCAGGATGAAGAGTTCTCACTCTCTCTTCAGTGGGGAGATTATGAGCTTTTAGCAGTGTGCCCTGCAGTACCAGACATTAACCCAACAACTGAAGCAACGCCGCCCTCTAGTGACGTTGGTCAAGTTCTGCAGCATCCTCAGAACTATTTACAAATGTTCTCTCAAATGTTGCAGCCCTGGCCAACACCAAGTCCAGCCCCCAGAGCACCACTACCATTTGTCTTTGTTGCCACAAACTCTCCAGAAAACRAAAAAGTACCAGAAGTTCAAAGTCCTGCGTTATCCTTTATGCCACAGTTGCCTCAGTTCTTTGTATTTCCCAGACCTGACTCGCCAGCACAGACTTCTGGGATTGAAAATAGTCCCATAAAACAGGCCCAGTTTCCTCGGATGCCACAGTCTCTTCAATATCAAGTCCCTATTTTCTCTGAATTCCCCATGGTGCCTGGAATAGTCCAACAAGCGACTCCACCACCACGTCCTGCCACCAGTACTGAGTCTTTGCCAACATCTGAGCCTGCAGCAGTGAATGAGGAGAAATTTCAACTTCCTCTGCAGTCGCAGTTTCCTGTGCTACCTCAGCATTCTTTTCCATCGTTCTTTAAACTCCCATTCTTTTCAGAAGACAAAGCACAAGTTGATGATCCTGAAACTGACATTCATCAGCTCCAACCCCAGCCCCACCACCCTCAGTTCTTCCAGTTCCCTGTGGTGTATTCTCCTCTTAATTATCCATCTAAAGGGCAAAATATGTTTACTTTCCCTGCTGCTGCTACAACCTCCACCAGTGCCGCTCCGACCAAAGCACCACTGCCTGACAATGCTTTTTACCCACCACCCCCTTATATGCCAGTACTTTTACTTCCTGAACAAGCTTCTGTCCCAGCATTTCTTCACCCTCCAAACAGCCCTTCTACAAATTCAGCTCCGTCTGATCAGCATGAATACCATCCTGTCTACCACGCCTTGCAAACTTTCTACCCTTTGCTTCCTGACCAGAGGAAAACAGAACCTACAGGACGTTAAAAATCACTCTGCTGATTGAGCTCCAGGACATGGCAGATGATTTCTGGGTTTTAGATTTGCAGATTCTCTCTCTTTTTTATTTTTTTATTTTTTATTTTTTTGAGAGCTGTTGAACAATTTAAAAAATAATTCTGGAAAGTAAACATGTTTCTGGTCAAAAATAAGAGTATTTTGTAATGCAATATGCCAATAATGCAAAATGTTTGTATATTTTTTTCCTTTTGAGGAAGAATAAAGCAGTGGAATTTGCACTATTGCTGATCTTCCAATCTGTTTTTATCAACATAAATTATTAATTCATTTAAAACAATATGTTCTTGTAAACTTCATTTTCAGATGGTTTAAAGATCCCTAAATTTTAATATTGCTCAGGTTAACATAAGTGAAATGTGTATTAATAGCTAAAGCAAAAGTTGAATCAATCAATTTTTAAACCTATCTGCTCTGCCTGAAGGAATACTCTTGGTGATTTGAATACCTTAAGTAACTTCCATGAGCGCAAACTCCCATTTATGTTTTATTCAAATGATTTAATTGGTTTTAGGTGGAAAATCTACCAGCTACAACTGGAACATGAAACATCATATCAGGAAACTTGGATTTTTTAAAATTGTTATTTAACCAGGCAAATCCCATTGAGATGCAGATCTCTTTTGCAAGGGTGGCCTGGGCCTGAAGGCGCCCTGTTATACGTTTTTGAAAATGCTGTCAAAGTAGAAAAATGTTCACTGCAGCCCTCCAATGGTTTATAAAATAAGCAAATTTAGGATTAAGTGAATTGCAAACAAGATAAAGAAAGCAAATTTCAAATAAAATGAAGACCCCATTTTACCACAATGCAAAACTTTGTAGTAAATATTAAAGTTTTCCACAGTTTACCATTGGCTCTTCAGATTGCCAGAACAATTTTAATTTGAAGAGTTACTCGTATTATAGTAAGATGTAACAATCATCAAAGTAGATCTATAATTCGGTTATGGTCAAAAATGTAATGTTTATATTTCACCAAGCTCTGTATCAATTTGAAACTTTTTGAAAATAACCTATTTAAAAAATACTCGTTGTGAAATTTTGTTACCACGGCTTGTGTGTTTTGTTGAAGAAATAATAGTTACTGGGAATGTGTGGTATAATTATATGCGACAACGGCTTGCCAAAATTAGGTCTGCTTAACTATCGGCTGCTCTGACGCAGAGCACGCAGTTTGACGTCATCGTGGGAGTGTCGACCATCGGGAGAAATGAACGGTCATCAACACAGTCCTCTGAGCGCCCGTGTAAGTTGAAGACAACAAAACGCACGTTTATTTGCGAACTATTTTACGAATGAAGTGCGTTTTCAGACATTGTGGCTGTTACGTGACTCGCAGAGGGGCTGAGGGGTGGATTTAAGTTGTTTGTCCGGTTGTCGCTGCCGCCTGGCGGTGTGCCATGTTTGCCTGTAGCTAACCGTGGCTGAAGCTCGGGCGATGTTTTTTAGCCGGGGAGCTTAGCCAGCCTGCTAATTCATTGACAGGCTGAGTAATCGGGCGTCGAACAAGCGCCTTGATTATACACCCAGCACGTTCAGGATGAAGTACATGCAGTGCGTTTTATTCTAGTTCGAGGGGGATTTTATATTGTAATAACTAAACTTTACCAACACCTAGTAGACACCCAATTCTCATAGCAGTTTCTAGAAAATTGAACGCGCAATGTTAAAACTAACGTTCTTTAATTGATAAAATTGATAAGTTAAGTCTTTAAACACTAAAAAGCCACAGTGAAATACAATAAGTGTGATAAGGAAAATCTTGTGGGAGTATGTGACAGATGGCAACTCAATACCTCCAATCTAAACTGGGTGTTCAGGGTTTCACACCTGTGAGGGCCGTTTTCTGTCGCTGCTGTCTTTCTTCATTTCCTTTTTCTTAACGTGTTTATTTTATAAGTTCATGCTGCATTATTTTGACACTAGTGTTTATGACTCAGTAGCTTGATGTTAATAACAGAGTGCTGGTACATGACTCCTCGAAAGCTCTAGAATCTGCAAGGTGTGGTAATGGATCATATAACTGTAATGAAAAAAAAAAGGTTGATTTTGTCAGCAGCTAGACAAGTTTTTGCAGTATTGTAATACTGCAACATATTGTATGGGCAGGTCACATTTCACAATGAGCCGAAACTTATCATTTTAGAGTAAAAAACACACACTAATTTGTGCAGCAGCGAGCTCGCCCCGAACAACAACACTCCGGTGTGTCCCGTGAACTAAAACAAACGCCCCTAGCCACACCACGTTAGCCTGAGCTGCTACATACCAGTTGAACAAGGAAGGTTTCTACACTGCCCTGACCAGAGATAATACCAGGGTTAGCAGCTCTCTAGCAAACTCCTCTGAGCTGAAGGGTTGGCGTGTTTCTGCCTAGCTAGTTGCTAATTTCATCCTCTTCTTTTACCTCCAGCTCTCTGTTGGGCTCTGACTATTAGCTGCAACTAAACAAACAAAACAGACTCAGATAATGGCTGTACATGGATCACTCTCAGATCTAAGGTCATTATTTGAAAAATTTAATCTTAGGTGTGTCACAGGTTATAACACGGAAATGCAGTTGTAATCCAGTGAGCTGTATTATTAATTTATTACAAGGCTTGATGTTATAAAGAGTTAGCGGTGCTAATCTTTTGAAAAGACCTTTGAGGCTTTTGTTTCACACAACAGTCTACTTAAAAGCAAAAGAAACCTCATTTCTGAATGTGTGTGTGGTGATCTAATTAAAGAGCAAGGATACTCTTACACCTAGTTTATTCTTTTACCCCATTTTGTTAGTTCATTGCCACATAACTGGTCCTTGTTAGGTCATTGCCACATTACTGGTTCTTTTCTCTTGGAAGACAGATAAATGATGAATGTCTTACACACATCCCTAGAGACTATTTCTGTACCATTAATTAACAATGAGCAAGTAATTAAGCTGAAAGTCCTCCGTGGCCCCTGCTGTACTGAAGCTAAATAAAACGGATTACACACTTTTAATGTGAGGTTACTGGTGCCCTAAGGGGTTTTAATTTTAATACTAATTATTATTTTTTTTGGCAAAAGATGACAAAAACACAACAAATCTAAAATATATAAGCTGTATATAATAAATAATGCTCTGTACTTTAATTTTAGATCTTAAATCTCCAAAGGATTGTTTTTAAAAGCTATTAACTTTGACAAAGGCAGCTTTGTACAGTCACAGGTTGAGATTAGTATTTAATTTTCTTTTCCTTTTTTTCTTGCAGAATGTGATTTTTCTAAAATTCTATCGACAAAGCGGACTAAAGTTTGACTGCAGCTTGGTTTGGAAAAGTTATCCGGAGAAAGCGGGGCTGGATATGGGCTCGAATTTTTAGGATATTTTTTCATGTTTTCATGTTTACTCACAGATGTGCCGCAAATGACCACATCAGAAGGTATGCTTTTCTCTCACTCTCACTCTCACAACTCATTTAACAGGAATTTGATGATAATAATAAACCTTATTTGGATTTACTTGATTGTACCAGCACTTAATATGTACAATCAGTTGGATATTAGGTATTTTAATGGTGTGTAACAGCTGTCTTTGTTTTTGTAGATCATAACTCTTGACTCTATGTACATTTGAGTGAAAGACGCTTCAAAGTGTCCCAAGAATATCTGGCACCAGTAAACTATATGTACAGCACTCTGCAGAGCCGGTGTGACATTGGAGCTCTGCAGAAACAGAGTGATAGGTGAATGCTGGTTGACCCACTTTGGACTTCCCCTTCAGCCCGGAGGAATCAGATGTCATTGTATTTTCACTACAGATGCAGGATTTAGTTGCACATCTGTTTGGAACATTTAATATTCCTCAGTCTTAGTTTGGAGCTAAAAAAAAAAAAAAAGGTTATAGCACAATGACTGATCACATTTTATAGTTTAAAGGTGCTGATACGATGCTGCTTTGAGTGCTGCTTTAAGATTACAGTGAAATCAGTTTGCTGCATTTTTCCTTAGCCTTTAAATGGTGACTGATGGATTCAGTATATGAGTCATTGAGATGTTTGTGAGATTTGAAGCAGCTGCCATAACAACCTGCGCACGGCTATCAGGAGCATGAGCAAACCTATTTTAACACAAAGTATATGCCAAGGATGAATGATAATGAYAATTAACACTTTTCAGATAAATGCAATTGTTTGTTTACAGTATTGTTTTGGTGCCTTGAGAATCAGTAGCCAGTGAACTAGATCACTGTAAACAAAATAAACAACATTTTGAGTAAATTGTCCATCTAGAGCTGGTTATAAACAAATATTACTGAGATGTTTTCCTTTCTTATCAGATATCAGGTCCTACCTGCAGGACCAGCATCAAATGAATCACTGCATATCAGTAATGGAGTGTGGTTGAGTTTTTTTGGTGGCAAATTGATCTGCTGGCTTGTTAATTGATACTTTGTGCTGACTTATAGGATTTTTTTCCCCTGTTTTTCTGGAAAGTAGTCCATACCTTGAGAGATCCATTGCAGGACTGCAGCTTAAAGTGTCTATGATATGCCTATCCATCGAATACAAAAAGTTAAAGAAAACATATTTTTATAAAAGAAACTTTGCAAAAAATGTGATTTTTACCCATTTGAACACATAAATGGCATATTTCCTTTTGAATTTGGATCAGCCAAAGTGAAACAGGAAGTGACATCATAGGGGAACTATTTAAGAAAGAAAACTCTCTGGTCTTTGTTTATTGAAATCATATTATTTGAACTCTAACTTGTCTTCATCTCTCTGTGATAGAGACTCAAAATCCACAATCTTTCCCCTCCTTACCAGTCTGACCTGAACATCTCCACACCCTCCCGCTCTCTAAGATCTGCTTCCTCTCTCCAACTCTCAATACCCCCTGCCCGCCTCAGCACCATGGGGAGCAGAGCTTTTAGCCGCTCTGCTCCGCAGCTCTGGAACTCACTACCCCATGGATTACGCAATACCACCTCTCTCTCCCTGTTTAAGACTGGCCTGAAGACACATCTTTTCAAATTAGCCTACCGCTGTTAATTCCTATTTTCAATATATGTCTGTTTTTGTTGTCCACACTTCTATGTTTCTCCCGCCACAACCCTATTGTTCAATTTGTCTACTTTTTTGTATTTTATTATGACTGTTCTGTACTCCGCATTTCTGTTTCTCCCACACTACCTTATGTGTATATATATATGTATCTACATTTTTTCTTTTTCTATTGTACAGTGTCCTTGGGCGGTGTCCTGAAAGGCGTTTTATAAATAAAATGCATTATTATTGTTGTTATTATTATAAAATAATCTAAAGAAACATCAGATTCTTCTCTACAGTCTGTGTCATAAGCCATTTTATCAATGCTCTAACCCATGCAGACATTCCTCTTTTGACATCACTTCCTGGAACTTCAAATGCAAATATCTCAATAACTGTTCATCTCAGCAGAGTGAAATTTAATTTTGCAATATGTTATTGATGTTATCTTTCTAACAATGCCTGTATATTTTAAAATTTTCACGTCACAGTCACTTTAAAACATTTTTATACAAATAAACTTTATGCTTTTTGCTAATTGAAGTTGGTTTAGAGGTTATGTAAGTGAGAAGACATTCTGTGCAACAAAATTTATCTTCAAAATCTATGATGCACTGCTGATTTAGCATCAGGTTTTTGGTTTCAAACCCGTGTGATGAAAGGATGCTAAAGCACAACCCGATCAGATGAGCTGCTGGTGCCTTTGTGGCATTAACGTGGCGAGTTTGATTGCAGTGATTAGTTTAATGTGTGCAAATCTTGTGTGAAATGAATTCATGAATGAATCTGTCAATGTAACCGAAAGGTTAACGGTGCTAATCCTGTCATTTGGAAATTAGTTTTAGGACAAGGGTGCCTTGTATGTCCTTCAGCTGATATTTACACACATTTTTCTGGTTTGCACATTTGTTTGTGTTGGAACACAGCACGTCAGGAYGAATATCTCCAACCAGATGAGTTGTGCAGTGACAGCTCCTCGGAGCTGTAGCTGCCATGTTTTCATGTTTTGTTGCGGTTCCCATCTATAAGGGCTGTTATGTAAATGTTTTTATGTCATTTTGTAAGAATACATTTGTGCTGTTGAGTCATTGATGATGTCTTTAGGTCAGCAGCTTAGGAGCTGTTCTTTGACTTATTCATTATTACCAGTAGAACAAATTTGTCTAAACGTTCTTCTTCATATGACAGTTTTCTTACCTTTCTGTTGCATGAAAAAAAACTATTTTTATGTTTGTGCTTCATTTAGCTGTTCCTGAGTTGTGAGTCAGAAGAGAAGAGACCGGGCTGATGGTAAGCTCTCTGTCAAACTTGTTTTCTCCTCTTCTCTAGCTTTCTCGCTTGTTGTGTCATTACACGATGATAAACCCAAACAGTGTTTAGCATAACCCAACGTGCCTAAGCAAATTCTTGGAATGAACATTCACTTCACCGAATTGAGTCTAGTTAGACAACGGCTGCAAAGGGGAAGCTGCTGTGGATTGTGGAACACCTTCAGCTGACAATTAGTCACTTTCCATTTAGCATTTAATTTACTGCAGTGTTTTCAGTTTTCTTTTGCCAGCATCTTCCAAGCAAACTTGTTTTAATTTATTTAATGAATATTTTCTGAAATGGTACTTATTGTTACTTTGAAATAATTCACAGTGAACTCAAAAACAGTCAAAGACAACTTTGAACGTGACAAACATTTCAGAAAGTGTTCTAAAATGTTGTTTTACTGTTCTGTTCTGGGTTGACACAATAAGACAATTAACGTGGTTGTGAACTAAAGTCGTTACCTTCTGTTTTCACTTAAATTGAGCTTTTTGTTATTTGGTCATTAATAAATATTTATGATAAATTTTAAAGTGAAGTACAAAGATTTGTTCTTATTTATGTCGGCCCAGTTTTCATTGTTTTTTCACATTCTGCTTTTGCTTTTTTACGTTCCTCACTGCTGCATGTTATAATTTATTTTGTTTTCCTTTTTTGTGGTAGACAAGCATGACATTGAGCCAAGCCACAGATGCATGCCCACTCAAAAGGCCCAACTGAGCGCCGTCCCCTCTGCTTCCTGGCTTTCCCCCAGCCTCTCAGAGGGGGGTGTCGACGGGGCGTAGCTAGGCTCCTACATCCCCCGAGCAGAACCTCACTTTGAAACTGGAGGTCTCTGATGGATCAGGGTAGTAGCGAGCAGAGTCCAGAGGAGCCGGACGCAGGAGGCCGTGCGGAGTCGGAGGTCGGCAGGAGGGCATCGGAGTCAGAGCATGGCTTGTCCAAAATCACCCACAATGCCCTGGAGAACATGGGAGCGTTGGGCCATGGCCTGAAGCAGTTCTTCCAGCCACAGCGCCGACGCTCCTCCGTTTCCCCACATGACTCCGCCTTGTCCTGCACGAGCGCCCCTCCCTCCGAACCCACCGATGTAGGGTCAGACGTGGGGGACGCTCCCGCCTCCTCGGCCCTGCCTGTGGATCCTGACAACCCTGCCGCTTCCGCCCCTCCCGCAGCTCTGAGCCGTGTTCTGCAGCAGATCCGAGGTCCGCCCATGATGAAGCGAGGCACCAGCCTGCAGAGCCGCCGCAGCAAGACGGGGCACCCCGGGGATCCTCCCCAAAAAGGAAGCCCACAGATCCACAGGCGGAGCACTCACGAGGCTCTGCTGCAGGCTGGACGCCCACGCTCGTCCTCTACCACAGATACACCCACCAGTCCGGCCCTGGTGGACATGCTGCTGACCTCTGGGTACCACTCCACCGAGGAGCCAGACAAGGTGAGGGTCTCAGGTGGTCCACTGTAAGATGTACACCATGCAACGAAGCATTCTTTACAATGAAACCAATGCCTGTGATTCATTTTAAGATAATGTGCTACTTTAACTACACTTTCCAAGAGGCACACATTTAAATATTTACTGGCAGAAAAACATCATCTACATGAACTCCCTGATGATATAAAAGCATATTTACTATTTCCTTGGTGTGAGGTGTAGGCTTATCATATAAGAGCTGTATCAGTGACTTCTCAGTGGATGCTAGGTTCAGATAGTCGGAACAAAATCTGGTAAAAATCCTAAAATGCTGTATTCCTAGAAGACTTGGCCTTGAGACATAAAATATTCAGTTTGCATTTGTTAGTTGGCAGCAGTGATGCAAGAAATGAATTGTATCTGTCTATTAGGTTCTAAAAATAAATGTTTAGAGGTGACTCATGTGAGTGTGAACGTCAAAACCTAGCGAGCTAGAAAATCGTGTTAAAAGTCTCTGGATGGTTTAGATGTGTCCTGGATGCAGCACAGAATGGGGAGATGAGCTGTCAGTGTGCCGCAAAGGTCAGACGTTGCCTTTGACTGGTTGGTCACTATTTGCTTTAAGCCTTGCTAAATTTAGCATTTGTCGTCCCTCGGTGCACTTCAGGTCAGGAGACTGCTCACGGGGGTAAACACGCTCACACTTGGGACTGTTTTTGAGTTTAAAACAGAAGAAATGCTGTTGGAAATGCACTGACTTAAACCTGAAATGTCCCGCTACCTGAGAACTGCAGGTGACAGCAGACATGAAAATAGTTAAAATATTCAATTATTTACAATTCAGTGTATTAGCACTAATTGATAACTCATTAAAACTACATTGAATTATAGACGTCATTACTATTAACCTTACCAGGGCTTGTTTTGACTTTTTGATATAGTTAAAAAGAGTCACTGTTTTCTTTTGTCAGTGTTTTACTGATGAGTCATTGATCAGGCAGGTTTTTATCTTCAAAAGAGTTGGAGCTTTTCAGAGTTTGGTAAACAAACAGCTCTGTTGTGCTGCTTTCTGAATGACACAAAACTGAGATAAAGTGGAAAAAACTACCGAAGTCTGTTTATTTCATATTTGTCTTTTATTCAAGGATCACTGTTTTTGAGTTAATATTGAAGCACATAGTTTAAAAGCTCACTTCTTTTTTGTACAGTTGTACACATGGGTAACCAGCACATCTGTGAAAGTAATATTCATACTTACACCATGTACAGTTTTGGATAACATGCTGCCATTCAGATGATGTTTTTTGTTTTATTCTTTTTTAGAAAAGAGCTTGCTTATTTCACTAAAACGGTTCCAAGTTGCAATCGGCACAACATGATGCTGATTTAAGGTCCAAGTGTCAAACTTTTCATCAGTCAACCTATGTTCTAGTAATAGCTTCCATCTTTTACTCAGTTAATAACTTTTATTTAAAAACGTCTTTTCATCCAGTTTTCTCAGGGTAAGCCTGGATGAAATTAATTAATATTAAGCAGTTATGTATTAGACCATTTCCCATAGATAACATTTCTGGGAGGTAAATCAGTGTCATATTTATATCTGAAGCAGCCTGTTAAAGCATTTCCATATTTTTTGTTGCATTATATTTTACATTTTAATGACTTTACTGAAAGATGCATTTGTTTAACAGGCACCATCTGCTGTTGGAAATACGAAACCAACTATTGTCCTGTTACACCTTCCTTTACAGTCACTTAGCCAAACAAACATGCATATTTAAGCTTTTCAAATCATTTGCAGAATTCAGAGACATAAAATTCAAGCGTTTTAAGTTTTGCATTCCTGCTAAACCATTTAAAAACTCTTACATATTGTCTCTAGAGGACATTCTTTAGTGGAGTTTTGTCTAAATCCCCCAGAGTAAAAATGAATTAAAACAACTTTTAGACACTGGATCCAAAAATTAAACACCTTTTTTTTATCTACTTACAGGAGACATGATAAATTATTAGATATATCTATTCCATCATCATATGTTTGTATAAACATTTTTAATCATTCATGAATGACTTCAGTGTGAATTTTAATGTCAATATGAAGTATGGCCATTTAAAAGACTTTTTTCTAATGTCTCTTCTTTCATTTTTCTTCCTTTTTTTTCTGAAAAAGCTGGAACGGTACGATGGATCAGGCCCTGCTGTGTCCCCCAGTACCCTCCCCTATGGCGCTGAAGGGTACGACGTGGTCGACAATACCCCAGACCCGCATCGCACCAAGCAGGCCATCGCACAGTTGCAGCAGAAGATCCTGAAGCTCACGGAACAAATCAAGATCGAACAAACTGCTCGGGATGACAACGTGGCCGAATACCTGAAACTTGCCAACAACGCAGACAAACAACAGAGCGCACGCATCAAACAGGTGTTTGAGAAGAAGAACCAAAAATCAGCTCAGACTATCCAGCAGCTGCAGAGGAAGCTCGAGCACTACCACCGGAAACTTCGTGAGGTGGAGCACAACGGTATCCCTCGCCAGCCCAAAGATGTTTTAAGAGACATGCACCAGGGGCTAAAAGATGTTGGAGCTAAGGTTTGGGTTTTTTAGGGTTGTTTTTCTGCCAAAAGACTTTAGTTCTAGGCTTCAACACAGTGTTTTACAGACAACAAATCTTTAAATTCCCACACAAACCACCATACCTCATACTGTATACAGACATAACACTGGTTAGTTTATCAGAGCTGGTCATCATTTCTGTTCACAAATACTCAAATAGACATTTTAGACAGACATGGTTGTCATTTTTCATCAGATTAGCTCTTTTTTATTAGAAAATATCTTGAGTTTTCAGATTGAAACATCAGTTGTATCACCTGATTGTTCTCGTTTTTCCAGGTGACGGGAGGCCTGTCCAGCATCTCTCAAGCCACTCATTCTGCAGCTGGAGCTGTGGTATCCAAGCCAAGAGAGATAGCTTCCCTCATCCGCAACAAGTTTGGGAGCGCTGACAACATCGCAGCGCTGAAAGACTCTTTGGAGGAAGTGCAGGGAGATGAAGGTGTCGGTCCAGGGGGGTCTAGGCTCCTTGTGACGGGGCATTTACAATCCAGCCCCAAGTATGGTAGTGAAGATGATTGTTCTAGTGCTACGTCTGGTTCTGCTGGAGCCAACAGCACCCCTGGAGCTCCTGGAGCTCCCGGAGGCCCCCCTAGCTCCAGGGGCAATACTCTTGATCCCCAAGCCTCAAGCTTTGATGCCATACTTCATGAGATCCAAGAACTCCGGGAAAACCAAGGTCGACTGGAGGAGTCCTTTTTAAATTTAAAAACCCACTATCAGAGGGACTACACCATGAACATGGAGGCCCTGCAGGAGGAGCGATACAGGTAACTCCAGTTGTAGTATGTTTGTGCTACGTAGTTAGAATGCTTGTTTTTTCTGAACAGTCGGTGTTTTGCAGGTGTGAGCGTTTGGAGGAACAACTCAATGACTTGACAGAGCTGCACCAGAATGAAATTCTGAACCTGAAACAGGAGCTAGCCAGCATGGAGGAGAAGATTGCCTACCAGTCCTATGAAAGAGCAAGAGACATCCAGGCAAGTGTCCACCTGAACTAATTTCTGCTTCCTCATCGGAGCTATTTCTCTGACGGTTTTTGTCTCCAACACTTAGGAGGCGCTGGAGGCCTGTCAGACACGCATCTCCAAGATGGAGCTGCAGCAGCAGCAGCAGCAGGTGGTGCAGCTGGAGGGGCTGGAGAACGCCACGGCGAGGACTCTCCTGGGAAAATTAATCAACGTGCTGCTAGCTGTCATGGCCGTCCTTTTGGTGTTTGTGTCCACGGTGGCCAACTGCGTCGTCCCCTTGATGAAAACCCGCAGCCGCACACTTTCTACGTTACTCCTCGTAATCCTGCTCGCGTTCCTGTGGAGGCACTGGGATGCCATTTCAGAGTATCTGCATCGCTTTCTGCTGCACCCCAGATGACTGACTATGAAAGAGAAATTAAAACAGCGAAGGGACGTCGGGCTTTGAGACTGAAACATGAAGGGAGGACCTATATAGGAAGTCGAGTCTTAATTGTCACGTCTTTTAAATATACTTCTCTCAAAACACTCAGGAGTATATCAGAGGTTTTGTCACTTGACCACTTTCTGAAGTGTGATTTGAGAAGAATGAAACAAAGAAGAAAAAGGTTGACGAAGACTTTCTATGGTGGCACAAGCACACGCTGTAAGGGTGAATGAAGCGTAGTTGAAGGAGGAGCTGAGAGAACCGCACACTTGATTTCTCTCTTGAGTGAATTTGTTTACACAAGAAAAACTTTGATTTGTTTTTCACTTGGGTCTTACTTTGAATTGGTATTGTTTTGAAGTCACTTCTACTTTTTAATACAGCTATTATTTACATTTGGTTTGTAACCGCAACAAGATGACAGTGTTCTGCGGCTTTAGTGTCAAGTTTTTATTTGTAAGCTTTTTTGTGTGTGTGTGTGTGTGTGTGCTCTTGTAATTTTGGGTTTTCAACTTACTTCTGTTTTATTTTTTTTAATCTCTTTAAAATTTCAGCTTTTGTTACCACATCCTCCTCTTCCAGCTAACTTCACACCGAAGGTCAGGGTGCCTGCAAAATCAGCTACATTGCTTTTGATATCAGATTTGTCACTGGATCAAAATGTTATGGGTTCTTGAATTGCTTCTTTTGGATGTGTGAAGTCAAATACACTGATTCTGACACATCCTGAACACTATCAGAGACTTTGTGTTTGAGTTGTGACTGCGATGCTACTTTCCTGGGGATGTTTTCACAGCAGAAGAATAATCGACAAACTCAATTAACATACTTGAAGAGCGGCTGAATTGCTCAAAGACTTAGTGCTTCCGTACTGTTTCTATTAGTGAAGATGAAATAGTTATACATTTTAGTTGGTTTTTATTTTTATTTTTTAAAAACGAATAAATTTGCTGTTTTAAAAGGTGACATTTTAAGTTTAACTTGGATTTATCTTTTGTGTCAAAATGTCCGAGATGCATAATACTAAATTTTTTTCAGTGTTGTATAAAGTACAACAAAGTGATACTTGAGTAAAAATACCAAAATCTTACCAAAAATTTACTTTAACTTTTAAAGTCTCCTTTAGGAATATTACTTGAGTAAAAGTTTTAAAGTATCTGATTTTGTTTGTACTTAAGTATTAAAAGTAAATGTATTGATTTAAACAAGCAGTTCGATTTTCCGTAATATTTATTAGGTGACCTCCCCCCAAAAAATGCAGAAATGACTTGTATTAAAATAATTAATTTGTTAAATTTAGGATGCACTACTCATGCCTTTTCAGTTTATAGATACTGTTTCAGTTTATATACATATATCAAGGCTGCCCAAACCTTTTCCCCAAAATGAAAATCTATCTGAGGACTGCAGTCCAAATGCAATATAATTCATGAAATACAAATACTTCTTAAGTACAGCTRTTTTATTTGAATGATTATGTCCTGCTGGAGTGTGACATGATTAGTTTGTGTACAAACTAATACGGTATCAGAATTTTATATACAGTATTTATACTTCTCATTCAACCACAATTACATTCACTCTATCTAGGAGGCACAGTTTATATGGAGAGTATTTATTTTTTACAATAAGCTGGAATGAAAACAAGCAAAAATGAAATAAAAGTAACGGCTTGCCTTTTTAAAATAAGGAGTAGAAAGTACAGATAATTGTGTGAAAATGTAAGAAGTATAAGTAAAAAGTTGTCTGAAAAATAATTAAGTAAAGTACAGATACCCCAAAATTCTACTTAAGTACAGTAACAAAGGACTTGTACTTAGTTTTTTTTACAACTCTGATTACTTTTCTTTTCATGTCCGCAATAAAAAGTATTTGATAGTATAAAATGATTTTTTTATAGTTCCAAGTAACAAATGTCATTTTAGTGCACAAACAAAACAAAGACATAAAATTAAAAATAAAAATCCAAAAAAGTCCAAATATACACAGTCAGTGTATTATGAAATCTGTCTGACAGCACTTTGAAGCTTTACACAACTTCCGACTGTTCAGTTTGTTTACGTCAAGAGAAGAAGAAAAAAACGTCGACGTTGTTATGAACAACCAAAGTATTTTGTTGCTTAGCGACGTAACAATATTAGCATTCAAAGTTAGAGCAACAAGTTAGCATCGTTGACGTCAATCTAAGAAGACTTCTTTTAAAATCAAGTAAGTACTTTCTAACAAAATGAAATTAATGAAAAGTTATCTTAAATCTCTAAAATATTACAAAACCATAAATATTCATCATAAACCGAATTTATTAGATTACAAGGGGGAAAAATGAATTATACAGATTTTATTTTAAAGATAAATGTACATTTCCCCCCTAATTTTTCTGATTCATGCAGACAAAGAAAACTTGTAGGAAGTTTAGTTTCATTAAAACACGGCGGTTAACGCGTTACACCAAAGAGTTGATAAGAAATAAAAACATTGTGAATAAATAATACATAAATACCTAGTCTAACAGTGTAATTGTGAAATAACTGATTGCATGTGTAATTCTAAACTCATTATGAAAAAAGAAATCATTCTCCTTTTAAAATGTGCCTTATATGATCATGATAATGATAATATATCATTTTTGAAACTTACTACTTGAGTTTTGATTTTATTCCTAATTTTCATATCCCCAACGGCTTATTTATTTCAAAACAATACTTCTCATCAGAATGACTTCACCTGAGGCCTCGGGATTTGATGAGATCCAACAGATCCAGGAAGCCCAAGACCGTCTCCAGAGATCCCTGGAAGTCCTAAAAATAAACCATCAGCGGGATCATATGATGGTCCTGGAGCTTCTAGAAGAGGACAAATTAAGGTAGTGTATGCTCACAGTCATCCTTTGACACATCCAAACCCTGTCTGATGCACAGTGATGGTTTTGTAGGTTTGACGGTTTGAAACAAGAACTCGCTGACTTGAAAGAACTTCATGAGAGGGAGATGGGAAATTTGAAAGAAGAGTTACTCAGCTCTAAAGACAAGACTGACTGCAGGCACCACGAAAGAAAAGAATTTCATGTGAGTGTTTTAAGACGTAGGGGTGAAAGAAAAATAATGCACAACTTAGAAAAGGCACTGAACCTGTACGCCTCAATCTTAATTTGTGATCTGCTCTGTAGGATGCAATAGAGGCTCGTCATTCACGACTCCCCGAGGCGGAGCAGCAGCAGCAGAACATGGAGAGGGATGAGGACACCATACTACTGAGCAGTCTTGGGAAAATAATCGGCATGCTTTTAGTGGTTCTGACATCCATTTTAGTATTCGTGTCCATGGCGACTCAATGAGTCATCCTTCTTAAACCATCCAGCTGAATGCTTCGTGTGCCGTTTCTCTACGTCATCTGAAAGTACATGGAGGTCYGTTTCAAATACGACCTTTGGCCTGCCTTTGCAGCACCTTAAAAAGAAATAAATAAAAATCTCTGGATGTGCAATGAACAGCTTTGTGCTTTGATACAGGTTCAACTTTTAGAGACATGTCTGCAGATTCTCAGTTTTAACCCTTAAATTCAGAGTTGTAAAGTACAAATACTTTGTTACTGTACTTAAGTAGATTTTATAGGCATCTGTACTTTATTTTTCAGCCTACTTTTTACTTCTACTTCTTACATTTTCACACAATTATGTGTACTTTCTACTTCTTACATTTTAAAAAAAGGCAACAAGTAGAAAGACCTTATTTTTTGCTTCTTTTCATTTCAGCTTGTTATTGTAAAAAATACTCTCCATATAAATTGTGCCTCCTAGATAGAGTGAATTTAATTGGGGTTGAAAGTATAAATATATAAAATTCTGATACAGTATTAGTTTGTATACAAACAAATGTCACACTCCAGCAGGACATAATCATTTAAATAAAAAAAGGACTGTACTTAAGTATTTGTATTTCATGAATTATATTTTTTCATTTGGCCACAGCCCTCAGATTTTCATTTTGGGGAAAGGTTTGGGCAGCCTTGATATGTACATAAACTGAGCAGCTAGGCTAGTGTATCCTAAATTTAACAATTTTAATACAACATAGAGTCATCTCTGCACCTTTTTGGGGAGGTCACCTCCTAATTATGTCACACAGAAAATCTGACTGCTCATTTTAAATCAATACTTTTACTTTTAATACTTAAAGTACAAAAAATTTCAGCTACTTTAGACTTTATTCAAGTAATATTCCTAAAGAAGACTTTACTTTTACCAAAGTAATTTTTTAGTAAGATACTGTACTTCTACTCAAGTATTACTTTGTGGTACTGCTTAAATTTATGAGCCAAGATCACAGAACTCCATATAAGCTTCGTTTTGACAGAGATCTTAGCAAATGAAGTGTGAAAACTGTTTAATTAAAAAGTAACTTTATTAGAGCAAAAAAAAAGTTTAAAATTCTAAAAACTCCCAAGTTCACTTATTCCTTCGTTTTGCTGGCTTGGTGACAGGAGCATCACCAGCAGCCTTCACAGCTTTGCTCTGGGAATCTTTCCCAGTTTTCAGCTCTTTTGTTGTCTTTGCTTTAGTTTTGGTTGAATCAGAGCTTCCTTTACCGCTTTCTTTTGCCTCAGCTTTTTTAGCTCTCGGTTTCTTGGCCGGAGCAGGTTCTTCATCTTTCTTGGCCTTCTTGGGAGGCTTCGGGTTCTATTAAAAAACAAAAATAAATACAGTTTTGCACATTACTCAGAACAATGCAAGAGGAACTGGATCAAAAAGAAGCCAAACTGCTACTCCTGGACAAAACATAATTGTTGGTATTGTTCATGAGTAGGATCAGCAACCAGCACACTCAAGGTTTAAAAATAAATAAATAAAAAGCTTATCGCTTTATGCACCAGTATTTTGATCAACACCATTTGACCAATTCCAGGTGATTGCTACATTAATGCAAAAATTGATTAAGAGCATTTATCTCACCTTTGTAGACTTCGGCTCTTCAGTTGCAGCATTTTTCTTCATAGTAGCCCCTTTAAGAGAAAAGGAAAGTGTCTCCTCTGGTAGATTATTTTAAGTTTAGTTGACTTGTACAAACAAGTTTCCTTACATTTTGTGCTTTGTTGTAACAATGCTTCTTGGCAATGCATCTCAAGACTGGCGGCACTTGAAGCTCAAAACCCATTGTCAATAGCAACAGAAAAACAAGCTGTTTGACAATGATGACAATGACTGAAGATTTGGCACATTTTTCATGTGCACAACCCGCACTGCTCATCACACAAATGCATATTCCTTACAAATATGGCACTGTTTTAAAAGAGAAAATTAACAGGCTTTCCAGCTGTGTAGGATTAATTGCAAAGACGCATTGTTGCAAATAATCCACCAAACACAAGTTTCTTTACTTTTTGTGCCAAGTATCTATTGATCATCACCCACCACCAAAGATGAAGCAGTTGTGTATTTTCTGAGTGTGTTAGTCTGTACATTTAGCAAAATATTCCCTAGAGAACTACGATTCAGTTTAACAGATGACCTTAAATTTGCTGTGGTAGTGGCTGACAGCCAGTCACAACACTAATCATGCACAAAATCAGTTATTTTCAAGGTTTAACTCTGTCATTTTTTGAAGCTCAAACTTACAAAACAAAACGTGATGATATACATTCCTTTGAGAAATGCTTCCCCCACCACCTCCTACCTGTCTTTTGGGGTCGTTTAACCCCCTCTTTGGCTTCCTTTGGAGCCTTTTCCATATTTGGATCAGCATTCTCCTTTATGGGCTTGAGATCTTTTTTTAGTACAAGCTTGTTTAAAAAAAAAAAACAGAACAAACATTAAAACCAGCTTGCTTAATTAGTGTTAAACTCCCGTTTGTTGGTCAAAGCCTGCATTACCCTGAATCGTCCCTGTATGCCTGTAGTGACGGTGGAGCTGGGGGGCCTGGCCAGAGTCCCACTCTCTAGTCCCTTCAGCAGAGCTCGGCGGACCAAGTGCTTCAGCATGACCCCATCTGCTGAGGGGTACTTCAGCTTGATGTACTTCTGGATGGCCTGGGATGAGACCCCTTTGCGTGAGTCCAAGTCTGTGAGCGCCTCGCGCACCATGACGGCCGTGGGCGGATGACACGTCAGTTTGCGCAGCGCTGCAGGACCTGCAAAGAGAAAACATAAACAAACTGCGTCAAAACGACGTGTTTTTGATTTAAGTTCTCACACGAACCAGGTTTCTTCTTCCCAGCGGCCTCCTCCAAGGGAGCATCGCTTGATGTCGGCTGAGGCGCAGAGTCCGCTGCCGGTTTTTTAGGAGGCATCGCCAAAAGTGAAAGAGACGCAAAACTCAGACTAGCAGAAAAAAAAAAGTTGACTTTATGTATTAACTTCCGGTGATAAGAGACCAGGTGAATTACATGAGCAGCTGATTAGCTGTGCCTGCATGCAGGGGCGGTTCTATCCTGCTTTGTGCTCCGGATGACCCCTGCAGCACCCAGTGCTGCCAAATGGGAAATGTTGAAGTACCAGCAGCTTGAACTTGTTGTATTTACACAACCAATTTGTGTAGGAAGTTCAGAATGACAAATACCTCCTGCCACAACTAATGCACGCCATATTAAAGTTAATAAAGCACATATTTGACTCTTCAGTATAGGGAAAGTTGCGATTTGGCTGGCCTTTTTTAAACAAAAAAATTGTTGAAACAAGAATGAAGTACAAAACAACAAACCAAGGGAGCCAAGGTGATTGAACATCTGCACACAAAGTAAATATTAGATGAAACAGCAACAATAAAGAAGTCAATAAAATCAATAAAATAAAATAAGCCAAGTTAAAATGAGATCCGAAAGGAAACTAGTCTTTGTAGTTTTCTCTCCTGATTAGTGGAGAAACAAATTGAGTGCTGTGTAAATTTACTAGAAAGCTCACAAAATCTTGTAGGTTTTGCATAAAATTTTACTTGGATGATTATTAAAAATGATAGTAATATCCTTTAAACTTGTTTTTATATTTTGCTCGAAATTTGACACAATTATCCAGAGAGGAATGATGTCTGTAGAACAAAATATAAAGATTTTTCTGTTGCTCCTTGAAATTTTTTTTTCTTCATTTAGGCCTATACCATCACAATTATACCCTCCCTTTCATTTGGGCTTAAGACCAGTAAACTATGAAGGTAATTATGGTGCAAATGTGTTTGCGCTTTGTAGATGCACTTAAAAAATAAGCAACTGTACTGACTGACATAAGAACTAATAAATTAGAACTTTTTTGTTAATTAAAATAAAATGGATTCTCTGGTAACATGTAAACATCCTGAAACCAACACATTTAGATCAACAGCTTCTGCTGACGAGACTTGGTTTGGATCTTCTGCTCTGTACCTGCACACGACCCATGCAGAAAGATGTGAACAATGAAAACATAATGTGTGACCATGTTTAATGAGACCCACGGTCATACGCGCACAAGCCTGATTTAGAAGAAACAGAAAACACATCTGACGATATACGCAGATGAACTCTCATACTTGTTAAGGTTATTTATAAAGGCAGAAGTTGTGTGTCTGTGGCCTGTGTGTGAGATTAATTTAAATGCTCACTGTGGTTAGAACAGAATCAGACGTCCATCTTTACTCAGTCAGACTTCTCAGAAGAACTTTGTAATCATGACTAGACACAAATTTATCATCGTCCTCATGTCTAAGTCACGTCTTCTATGAATTATTAATGTTGTGTGGCAAATATTTTGAAGAGTTTGATATATTTTATTTAGCACTTCTTACTTTTTATTGTTCGTTTACAGTTTTTATTTAAGTTAGAAAGAACAAAAGTAGAGACGAGTGAAAACTGTTGACATCATAAAAAAGTTTTGTATTTGTTTTGTTGTTTCCAACAGGCTCGTTTTGTCAGGTCAGGTTGTACAAGGTCAGTGTCTGTTGTTTTCACTAGATAAGGATTTATAGGAATGTTACCATGCATGTCAAATCATCAATTGGGTCTTTTTTCTCCAATAATCTGCATTTTCAGCTCTTCTCCAGGCTAAAGTGACAGTGAACCCCTCAGTGATCAAAGAAACAGACTCAGTGTCACTGAGCTGTCAGGCTCCATCATCTGTTTCTGTCCATCAGTGTTATTTCTACATTAAGAGTCTAAGACAGTCCACACCTGTTTGAAGACATTTACAGGACAGTGATGTAGTTTTTAGCCTCGCCACTAGAGGGCGCAGCCGTCCTGTGAGTCGTGTTGTGAGGTAGATAATATTCATGAATGCAGTGTGGAACAGCAAAAGGTCACATTTGTTTTATTATTTTTTTTCACAAGAGAGTGCGTCCTTAAGACTGGTAAACTTTTATAATCCCATAATTATGACATCTTATCTCGTGACTATGACAGCATGTTACTATCTTAAAGATCAGTTTAAATTGTGATTGTTTTTTTTTTCATTTTTATAACCAACTCTACAAATCTCTGGTTTTTTTTGTAGGTTTTGTGGAAAGTGAATCAGATGAGACCAACACAACACAGATGTTTACTGGTGAAAAATATTATCTGTCATAAAAAACAAAGCTAAGCTTTTTTTTTTATTATTATCAGAAACAATTATCAATCTGTCACTTAGAGACCTAAATATTTCCTCCTTGATTTCTTTTTTTAACACTAACTAACTTTTCAGAGCCACAGTGTATTTCCATGTTAAAAAAATGTGATTCAGTGCTACAGAAACACAGTTATTTGCTGTTGAAGTAAAAGTGACACATGTTTGTGGCCCTCCAAACAGAAAACTGATGTTGATGTGGACACAGTTTCTGACAGCTGATGGACTAACTGTGGGCATCATCGTGTTTGTGTTGGCGTGTCTCAAACCTGGTGAGAACTGTGTGCAGTAAAGATGTATCTGAGCTTGTCTCTGTTTCTCAGCTCTCTTATCGTGTTGTTACTTTATAACCAATAGTTTTGCTGCAGATGGAGCTGTCATTGAATGTGAACTGTTAATAATAATGTCCTGTATCATCTTAAAAATGAAAGCTATTTGTAGAGCTGCGGGCAAACCCGTGTTTGACACTGAAGAGCAAATATGATGCAACATGTTTTCCAGTTAATTTCTCCTCAGTCAGTCTCTGCTGCTTCAGCTCCTCCCACTCTCACCTGTCAGTTGGCATTGCGCCAGGTGTTTCCTCTCCTCATCAGCCTCTGCCCCTATAGTCCCTCACCTTTGCATGTGCTTTATTCCAGCCCCTTTTTCATGTCTTCACCATGTTTCTAACCAAGTCTTAATTTAAGGCAACAAAACAACACATAGAAGGAAGGATAATGTGTAAAATATCTGCAAAAATGATACATTTCTTCTCATTCTACACTAACAGTATATCAATCTGTTTCCTTCCCTAGCGACTTCTGATAAACTTAACCAGTCAAAGCCACAAAACGACGATGTAAGTGTTGTACAGCTGAACACAAAGGAGCTTCTGAACACAAGTGTAAAACGAAAGCCTTTTGAAACCATGATCAAACCAGCATGTTAAATACTGCAGGCTGTCAAAAATAAATAACCTTTTACACTTCCTGCATTCCTTTCTTCCAAGAAGGGAAGAAATCTGCTCTTGCTGATGTAGTTGTGCCCCCTCATTGCGGAAATTGTGTCAATTTGTATCCATCTTTATAACTGTTCCAACAAAACTTACAAAGACAGTCAAATTAAATCTTATAAAACCAGTTAGAGAATTTGTGCAAGGAGATTGCACAGACAGGTATTTCTTTGTGGCACTAGCCAGTATTGAGAATTCTGTTAGCCGGGCAGCAAAAGGTTCACTCTTGGTCCACCGTTTGTCAAAAACGATGGTGGTCTCTTTGTGGCAAATTTGCTAATGCCAAATGGCATATCGTATCTCAGTATGAATTTTAAAAATGTCTGGCGACAGTAGCATATGATAAGCAAAAATCTGTATGAGTGGAGTGAAGAAATCCATTCTGGTTCTGTGGGCAGGGGGGTGTTTTGCTCTACAGTTTCTTATGGAGTGTTGTCCATTAAAAAAAAAGAATGAAAATAATGCGAACATTTACTTTAAATTGTTAAAGCTCTCCCATACTGACATTACTCTCACACTGTTCTTTTTCACCCACCTGAAATATTATTATAGGTGATCATTTTTTTCTAATTGACAAAACGCTCAGTTTCTGTTTTTCTTGCAGTGTGACGTGCATCACGTGTACACCACCATCTCTGAGATCCACCTGCATCTCCTAAAAGGAAACACAGCCTCCTGCAGATACACTGAACCACAGCTTGTTTCAAAAAGGAGAAAGTAGACAGCTTTTTAAAATTACACAATGAAGGAAAGAAAACTGACCATAAAATCCATTCTTCGTAAAACAATTAAACTTTAAGCATGTAACTTGGAGCTGCAGTTGACATCTGTGCTGTTTTTTTCAGCTGATGTGTCTTTTCACTTTGCATGCTGACACTTACTCTGTGAATTATGTTTAGAAACGATCCAGCATGATAACCATATAGTTTTAACCCGACTGCCCTTAATACAGTATCCTCCTGTTGGCTGAGTTTTTTATTATTTTTTTATCCTCTTGCCAGTGTGTTTGGCGGCTCTTCACTTTGCTTTCCTTGGACTCAAGCAGCACACTGTGCACACTTTTTGTCTCTGTGTTGCTGTAATACCACATTGAACTGCTTTTTTTAATGAATAATTTTTTTTGCAATTGACAAAGCGCATTCAGTTCTGGAATAAACAAACGATAACATTTAAACCATCTCTTTAATAATACAACAATTTCAGTGAGAACAAATACAATTAAATTTTTTTAAGCAATATTACTTTTATAACCAGTTGTTACTCATGCATAACATGTTTTATTTATCATTACTTATTTTGTTATTTGGTTGGCTAAAGCTTCATATAAATAAAAGTTTTTAAAACAGATTTTGCATGATTCACAAGCTGCACTAGCTGAATGATTCTGACAACAATTATTTGAGACTGGAGTTATTTAAAGATGGCTCAGTTAACCCAACTCCCCTGATCTCTGACTGTTGTCTGCTCAGAATCAGAATCAGCTTCATTGCCATTGCCAGTGATAAACACAGACTAGGAAGTTGCAGTCTAGAACATCCGTTCGGAGACAGACACACAACTCTGGGTTACTAAACGGAACCTCTGAGAAAGTGTAGGTGTGTGTGTCAGTGGTCAGTACGATTCACTTCTGAGTTAGTGGTTTTCTTGTGAGAAACTTCCTAAATTTAAGGTAGGTCCACGTCAATGTACAAGAGACAAAGTGTTCTGTTCAGCTCCATCATGGCTGCACGGCTGCTGCTCATCATCTTCTTCAGTAAGTTTACTGTCCGATCTGGTTGTTTT